CCGCCGAATTAGCTACTGTATTCATTTGTATTGTATACAATCACACAGTGTACAATCAATACTGTAATACAGTAACTCATCTATCTGGATAGTGGAGCAAGTTTTTTTCTTAATGGCCGATAATGGTATGGTAACCCCGTCTGCGCTATTGGTACACGCTGGCGGGCACCAGTGATAGATGACTGATGAGGACGAAAGCAGGTCAGTTAGCCCATCTTGACGAATTCTACTAGCAATATATCTTATCAGGTTGACCTCCACGCGACGCGACGCTCCACGAGGGGGAACCCCTGGAAACCATCTTGACTAATTTATCGTTGAATTCGTCACGATGGTCTAACTGGCCTGCCTTTTCATCCTCACCTATCATACTTCACTTGTTTCCCGCCAGCGTATACCGCTAGCACAGGCGGGGTTACCGTTCCATTATTATTCATAAAAAATACAATTACTGGGAGGGAGAGATTGTTAGTAATGTGGAGTCCCATTGCTAGCAATATATCCTATCGAATCAACCTCCACGTAGTTTACAAAATCACCGTGCTGTATTCCGAATGTATTCATCACGATGGGCCAACTGACTTGCCTTTTCATCCTCACCTATCATCTCTCACTGGTGCCCTGCTAGTGTATACCGATCCATTAAAAAAAATAGGCCTTCGCCATAGACTGCCATAAGGAACGATCCTGAGCCACCTGTTTCCACTGACTCCCTGCAATGTATTTGAGGTCGTCACTCCATTTAGTGGAGGGTCATCCTACACTGAGTTTGCCCATACGGGGTCGCCACTCAAGAACCTTTCTTCTCCATTGGTTGTCGGTTCCTAGAGTTATATGACTAGCCCATTACGTATAGTACGTGTACATTAAATTTCATACTGAATGGTTAAGCCGTTAAGGCGTTATATGGTAACAAACAAATTCACTTTCTCATTTATAATATTAGTGAGAACTAGGTATCATATAATAATGAAACTAAGGGTGAGAAATTATTTCAGTATTGGATCAATCTAATATATAAAATTCTCGTGTCACGGTGTTTGTTACCAAACTCCTCCGAAACGGCTTTACAGATTTTTATGAAATTTTGTGTGCACATTGGGTAGGTCTGAGAATCGGCCAACATCTATTTTTCATACCCCTCAATGATAAGGGTGACACACCCCTAATTTCTTTTTTATTTTTTTGAAAAATTTTTTAGTTTTTATTTTATTATGATTTAGCATTGAAAAATATATACAAATTTAAATTTTCACGCTTTTACGTTCAACTCCTGTTTTTTAATCGTGATTTTTATATGCCGCAATAGGGTTGCAAGATGGCAATCGAATATAGTAATTGTAGTACTAGAAATTTTCATGTATAGTTCTCGAAATAATGTATATGGTAAAACAACGTTTGCCGAGTCAGCTAGTATATATATATATATATATATATATATATATATATATATATATATATATATATATATATATATATATATATATATATACTGATCCAATAACAAATATATTAAAAGTCTGTTATCCAATATAGAATTGAAAGAAGAATTACGAAAGAGATTTATCGAGCAAGAATGAATGGAGATGTCGGTAGGGGCCGCCCTAGGCGGACGTATGTCGACCAAATAGGCGACGTGCTGAAGAAGGGCCAAATTAAAAGTACCCGTAACCGGCGAGCGTGTATGAAAAGATTGATGAATGTGGAAGAAGCGAAAGAGGTTTGTTTGAATCGAAGCATTTGGCGTTCCATTGTTTCTGCCTACCCTAATGGGAGACAGGCGTAACGGATATGTATGTATGTATCCAATATATTTTTTTAGATAATTTGACTAAGACTTTTAATATATTTGTATTACTAGAGGGAGGAAGACTTTGTACAAAAGTCGATTGCTTGGGTACCTCTGTCCCATTCCTGTTTCAACCGTGAAGCAATTGTGTTTGCATGGCTGTGTTTCGGTTTGAACGGTGGGATATGGCGTGAATTTACACGGTACAGAGGAATAATACCTAAGTCCTCTGGAATGGCAACGCATGGGGGGTATCATGGGCGGAACAGTATACTCTGTTATGTCCAAGGTACTGCTCATGTCTATAGGCAACGGTTACCACTTTCCATCAGGTGGACCGTCAGCTTGTTTGCTATTCTAAGTTGTATAAAAAAAATATACTTTTAGCATATTCGAAAATAGATATCTGACCGATATCGGCCATATTGAAATTGGTGATGACCCTTTTTTCAGAGGAACCCAATATATAGATATCAGATCGGTATCAATATTAGCTATACGTAAATAAAACCACGTTTTATTAACATAACTTCTATATTTTGTAAATTTGCACATAATTTTTACTTATATTACAATTATTCTATGTTTATGTTTAAATTAAACACTATATTCATTAATTTTGGTATTGTTTTAATTATATATATATATACCTATATATATATATTCTTATATATACAAAAATTATTCATAGTAGTCGTAGCAATACTGGGCTCTTAAGTTGGTTTATTTTAACAAATATTTATTAGTTTGTCTGGGTTAAATTTTGCAAGTTAAATTAATACTTAAACTGACTGTATTATTATTATTTGGAATTGAACTTAGTTCTTATAACAATACAATATGCTTAAGATTGTGATATTCTCAAAATGGCCGCCGTCACAAGATGGCGGATGGTGTGGGTATATTTTACGAGAATCTGTTATTTATTTATTCACTTGTCCTGCAGTGTAAAGTACAAGGCGGAATTAATGCTAAACGAAGGGACAAATGAAACAGTTCTAAGTGTAAGTAACAATAAAATAAATTACATTCTTTTAATCTGATTGTAACTGCAAGATGGCGGATGATGTAAGATTGTTTTTGAAAATGTTTTAAAACATACTTGTTCTATAGAAAAATAGATTAGGCTCGAGACCATTTCTCTTTTGGAAAATATCTAAAAAACCACTTTACAGCCACAGTACATATAGTTTTAAGTAATTCAATTAGTATACATAACTTTTATTATACCTTACATTAAATAGAATCTACTTAGTATACATTTTCATTATGATTAATTCATATTCAATTGTTATTATTAATAGTAATATCTAGGAGTGGGTAATATATAGCAATATATATATATATATATATATATTGTGGTTACGATATCTATACATATATTGGCTCAATAACAGATATATTAAAAGTATGTTATATAAAAAATAATATTGTATAACATACTTTTAACATATTCGAAAATAGATATCCGACCGATATGGGCGATATCGAAATGGGGGATGACCTTTTTCCCGCCATCAATGTCCAGAGGAATCTATTTTTTTTATACTACTTAGAATGGCAAACAAGCTGACGGCCCACCTGATGGAAAGTGGAAACCATCGCCTATAGACATGAGCAGTACCATGGTTTCTGTTTCGCCCACGATACCCCCCATTGCGTTGCCATTCCTGAGGACTCAGGTGTTATTCCTCTGTACCCAGTAAATTCACTGCCATATCCCACCCTTCAAACCGAAACACAGCCATGCAAACACAACTGCTTCACGGTTGAAACACGAATAGGATAGAGGTACTCAAGCAATCGACTTTTGTAAAAGTCTCCCTCTGGTAAATATATATATATCGGATCGGTATATTACCCATGCCTAGTAATACCTGCTAGTCTCTATATTTTTTTACAATAATTATACAAATTCACTCATTCATACATAAAGAAAAAAATTAAAAAAAAAAAAGTTTTTTAGGAACTGTATCCGACATATTTTATGTCAGTTTTAATGTATGTAAATAATAATTTATTAAAATGGTCATAATAAAATTAGGCCGCCATTTGTAAGGAAATATTTGGAAATGAACAATAACTTTTATAATTGGGTATTTTTTAAATCAAATATTTAAACTTATAAATCAGAGGTTTCCAAAGTGTATGTACGCCGTGGAGCCTCGGTACGTTTACAGTATCTATAGAGTAGCCTTTCCCAAAGTGGGCGATAACGCCCCCTTGTGGGCGCTGCAGGCCTAAAGTGAACAAGAGTGAAGAGACCCAGAAAAAAAAATGGGGGCGTTATGTAAAGACTCGGGAAAGGGGGTGGTGATCTTGAAGTAATAGTTTTTAAGTAGGTGAAAAAAGAGAGGCGCTAAAAAATAATTTATTCTCAAAGTGGGCAGTAGACAAAATGAGTTTGGGAACCCCTGGTGTAGAGGGACGCCGTGGGATGCTCTTGTTGAGTTGTCATCACCAAGATTACATGTCACATTGATTATCATTGTATTGTAAATTCTATTGGTCTTGGCATTGATTGGGCCACCCCTTCTTTTCCCGTTGGTGTCGTAAGAGCCAACTGATATTGGTCTAGGATTAGGTAGCAGCGTCCCTCTTAACCCTTCTTTGCATGATTTTTTTTTTACTGGTGAAATAAATTAAGGTGATATACATAATTCATGTTCAAAATTAAAGGAAAAATGGTTAAAAAAATAAATTTGACAGCTATGTTTTGTTTTTGTGCAATGGACATTAAAAAGGTATCCAGACACGGTCAACTCGAAGTGAACTTGTTCTTTTATAAAATGTTTGGACGTTCAATGTTATGATGGAAATTTCCACCATTATACAAAGAAGGGTTAAAACAGCATCAAAAAGCTAACTGCGGTTGCCAATTCGTTTGTCAAGCGTGGCAAGTATTGGCAAACCTCTCCTTATGGGGGAGGCCTATGTTCATCAGTGGACAGTTGACGGCTGGTATGATGATGGTAATGATGATGAAACTTGGTGTCAAATCGCTAGTATCTTTATACCAACTTTGGAGTACTAACGTCTATGGGGAGGCGAAACAAAATATTAAACCTGTAAGTACACTGCGAAGTAAAAAAGTTGGGGGAAGGCATTGTTAGATATGCAGACTATTAATGCCATTGCTAGCAATATACCCTGTCATGTATCATCCATGAATTCTAGATGTATTCAAAAAATTTTCATTGTCAAAACTGGTGTCCCGCCAGCGTATACCGTTAGCGCAAACGTGGTCACCATTCCATTATCATCCATAAAAAAAAAGTAAAAAAGTTTGGAAACCTCTGTATAATAATATTAAAAAGAAAAAAAGACAAGAACTATTGAATATAAATTATTAAGTTATTATTATTACATTCAAATATATCCTAATAATTTATTACTAATAATACTGTATAAAGATGTCCATTATTCAATCGTATATTCATTTATTCTATATTTATATAACTAAGTACTCACAGTTATTAAAAAATAAAAATAAATCTAAATTCTCTATTAATATTTTTGGCCTGCATCAGTTCTTAAAACTTATAGTATTATTATCTATGATACATTAAATATAAACCTTAGATTGCATAGATAGAGCATCGAGCCTCAAAAACGTGTCAACTTTTTGACAGCTAATTGTCAAATTAGACTAGTTTTTTTAATTGAGTTCCATATACTTACGCATACAATGTAAATTGACGTGTCTATATTAATTATTTAATAAATAAAATGAATGTTTACGCATTAATAAAGTGCAAAATTTATAAGAAAAATAAATATAGAGTTATAAAGGAATCGCTCATAACTATTTATCACGCGAAATTGTATGAAAAAGTTGACACGTTTTTCTCGAAGCATTTGTATGGAGACACTCTATCTATATAATGTTATATACAAATACATATAAATCAATATGTAAGTAGATTTTATTGTAAAAAAAATTCGTTTTTACACATTATATTTTAATGTTATAACTACCGGTTTAACTTACGAGTACTTAGATCGAGAGGCCCGCACTCGCGTCACACCTGCTCACGACTAAGGGTCCCTGAATGGTCCTGAAACTAGTCGAGCTCTCTCGACCAAATGACACGTAAATTAAACCGGTAGTTGTTATATTAAAATGTTAATTGTAATAGTGTATGCATTGAAAATTTAATTTATGGCAAAAAAAAAATTGACAATTTACAAAAAGAATAATGTAATGGACACATCATATTTGGAATCTTGATTTATACGCGTATAATAATAATAATTGTTATAATTAAATACTTACATTGCTAAAAACAATAAATATATTGCATAATTGGAGAAATTGCCAGCCTTGAAAATAATAACAGAATTTAAAATTGAAAATTATTACAACTAAATAAATTTACATTAAAATTTACAGAAACAATTTAAATGTTACACATAAATTGACATAAATTAATAAAATATAATCTATTTTATATAAATAAATACATATATGTATAATAATTGAATGAATATATTGTCTAAAGTAATAATGAATAAAAATAATTTGATTTTTTCTTTGTAATGGATAACCTCAAAAAATACTCACACACACAATTTCGAAAAACTCTTTCACATGTAGAAACATATATTATCAGCTAGTAACATAGGCTGTATTTTATTCCCAAAAAAGTCGTGCAACACCGGTTCGGTTAGCTAGTATTGTATAAATTAGAAGTTGGTACTTACAGCATGTATTAAGGAAATTTCTTGTAATCCTATTTTAAACGATCCACCATTTAATGGAGAAGCACTAAATTCACGGAATGGCTGTGTTTTATCGACCTACATAGGAGCCTAAGTATGTATTGAGCACTGAAATTGATTTGAGAGAGCATTAAATGGACAAAATTATAATACAGGTTGGAATCGTAGATGTTAGGATTCTTTTAAAAGTGTTTTTATCTAAGTACAACAAAGTATGGCAACCCCCCCCCCCCCCCCCTTCCTAATTATGTGGGAGGCCAGTGTTTAGCAGTAGACAGTTATCGGCTGACATGATAATGATGATGACGGCAATGTCCCAATTATATGTTAATTTTCAGAAATAATTGATATTTTTCAATGTTTCTAATACACTGTACTGTTTCATTAACAAACTCTTAAAACGGCTATGATTTCAACCTATAATTGGTAATGCATTAAAAAAAAAATGGCAACTCTGTATCACGATTTATAATGGTATGTGTGAATGTAGTCTTGTAACATTGCATTGGAATACGAAGCAATCGCTTCTTCTTATTGTTTATTTTAGTTATATTACACCATAAAATATATTATGAAATGTTTCTTGTTAAATATAAATAAAAAATATATCAATAACACTAATAAAAAAGGACCATTATTTTCATACTACGTATGGCCTAAACATGTCATTAGGACGTCCGCCATCTTGACTCATGACGACCAATCCGCGCCTATTGTTTTCCAAATTCGAATTAAAATTAGCCGCCGCTATCGCCCTCTCCCTTTCTAGCGCAATAATTCTATCCCTGTCCAGGATGGGCGGTTTAACGGCTGTCAAATCGGCCGCCATTTGTTGGGGTTTTTCGGGCTCGGCGGGCAAAGGAATTTCTTTTGGTTTGCTTTTCTCGTCGTTTTGGTGTGACGTGTGCGAGTCCTTGCTTTTGGAGTCTTGTTGTGCTTTTTTCGACCGTTTCCACTTCATTCTTCGGTTTTGGAACCATATTTTTACCTGTGCAAAAATAAAAGTTGTCTATGAATATACATTTTTCAATAAGACAAAAAAAAAATAACACATTAAATACTGATATAAAAAATGAATGAATGAATGAGTATGCTTTATTTGCATTATACAATATAGGGAATAAGCGAGACAATTAATAATGTGACGATACAGTTGTATGAGTACAGTGAGGTGGTCTTATTGCTGAGAGCAATCTTTTCAAGACAACCTTAGGGTAATGAACTAATTGTTATACAAGTAGGCATGATAATACTGTATAATTGACCAAGTATATAATAACAGTTATTTCCTAAGTAATTTTTAACTACGATTTTCTTCGCATGATTGGAATATATTGATTTACTAGGATAAAAAGTAGCTTATAATTTTCCCCATTCCAAAAACTTGTTACGTGTATGCCAAATATCATGAGTAACGGTTTAATCGTTAAAAAACCACAAACAAACAAACTCATTTCACATTTATAATATTAGATAAGAAGGAAGCCACTTCGTTACTGTAAATGTGTCTGTAACATGAAAATCTTACAAAGTGCCGTATAAATAAATGTGAAATAGCAAACATGTGCTATTTCAGAAACTAAAGCGACCTAAAACCATTCCCAAAATTACTGAGGGGCGTCAGAGATTAATATTTAAACCCACACAAGCAATAACGTTTATGGCACTCCTCCGGCCCTCCCCTATAATCTTGTCTATGACTGTAAGCTCAAATCCGCCATCGCTCAACTTGACAAGTGTTTTGGCGCGCTTTTGTAAACGTCACCGTTGTTTGGGGTCCACGTAAAAAGGTGCGGTCGTGTTATGCATTGACATTGTTTTTGTGATTTTTAGCAAAACAGCTGGAAATGTAATGTTGCCATCTCGGATTACGGTAATTTTTTTTAAAGAAAAAATAAATTTGTCTCACTGGTGCCTTGTTAGCATATATTGACAGCACAGACGCGGTTGCCATTTGCATTTTTATACTATTTAATTTACCAAACTGCACCAATTTTTTTTTAATGGCCTAAATTGAGTTCAGGTTGTTTAGATCTTTGTGTATTTAAGTACTTGTTCTAGCCATGTGTAATATGGATACCGATCCGATATCTATATATTAGGTTCGTCTGGACATTCATCTCGATCACCATATCATCTTTTAACTCTCTTGTCGAAAATAAGACTTCCCCTTGGGGGTTTTGCCAGTAGTTGCTATGTTTGGTAGGCGGATTGGTAACCGCACTCAGACTTTAAAAATGTTTTAAAAGGGACGCTGCTGCCCATATCTCGCCCTCTCTTAGTCGGCTCTTACGACACCCACGAGAAAGGAAGGGGTGGCCTATTCTATGCCGGGACCACACGGCGAAAATTATTTATACAAGTCGCTAACACCACAAACCTGTGTCTCCGTCAGCATAAGGCTGGTGGCAACCTCGAACCTCTTCGGCCTGGAGAGGTACTTGTTCATCCTAAACTGCTTCTCCAGCTCCAGGAGTTGCTGAGACGTGAAGGCCGTTCTAGGCCGTCGCGTCTTGCCGAGGAGGGCGTGTGGAGCGCCTGTGTACAATGAATTGATATATTATTGAAAAACACTATATATATATATATATATATATATATATATATATATATATATATATATATATATTATATATATATATATTTATATTTATATTTATATATATAGAAAAATAGATAAATATATATATCAAAAATATAAAAATAGATAAGAAAAGGCTGGTCAGTTAGCCTATCGTGATGAATAACGTATCGTGAATGTGGGATGCAACACGATGGTTCCCAGTCGGGACTACTTGAAGCACTAGCAATCCCCCTCCACCCCTCTCAATATTTGTATATTAAGTACCTGTATATTTCCTAGAACACCAAATGTCCAATAATTGCAGATCCACACACACACACACATACACACACACACACACACACAGCTCGCATACAAAACATCATGCAATCACATTATCATACAATCTAATCAAGGGGATAGTGTTAATTCATCCCACAAAAGCGCCGCGTTTAACTGCCATATGGTTGTCACTGACGCTGAATTTAAATTCGTTTGTCCCTGCATATGATATTTATTTGTATAGTTTTTAAAAATCTTGATTATCACTAAATAGTATAAAAACAAAGTCGCTGTCGCTGTCTGTCCGTCCCTATGTATGCTTAAATCTTTAAAACTACGCAACGGATTTTGAAGCGGATTTTTTTAATAGATAGAGTAATTCAAGAGAAAGGTTCATATGTAAAATACATGCATAATATTGTAGAGGAACACTGATAAATTTAGAGATTTCTAATGTGATGTCGTAAATAAACACATTTTTTTCCGCTTACATTGCAAACGCAGGCTGAATCCTACGAGATTTATCAAAATAATGTACTAAGTATTGTACACAATGAAAAGGTCTACAGAAAACTCCGCGATGGTATATGTCTATCTCTTATGGATATCCCACAATAACCATTTTTTATCCTTTACATTTTACGGGAAAAAAATGGCTTATTTACGAAGTGATTTTAAGCAATACAGCATTAATTTTTATCCAATTAAGTACCTTAAATACATTGTCCATTTAATATAGATCAATATGGCTCTTTACAGCATGTAATTTAAATGAATATTTCCGAAAATATTAGATTTAAAATGCAGGGGACATAGCGGTGCGGCGGCGCGTCGGAGGCCGCGCTTCGCCCTATAGCTCTTTATCATGTTTGTATTGTCTAATGACTAAAAAGCTACAAACGTTGTTTAAAAGGACATTCTGTAGTAGTTAGGTATATTTAGTATCAGCATTGCACCCGTGCGAAGCCGGGGCGGGTCGCTAGTAAGTACATAAAGAGAAGCCTTATTTATATTTTATTTTATATTTATTTATAATCTAATTTCGTCATAAAACACAGCTTTACTAAGGTATTTTTTTCTCTCTCTGATAATGTAGTTTTCTGTAGGTGAAAGAATTATTAAAATCGCTCGAGTAGTTTTTCGAGTTTATCCATTATAAATAAACATACAAAAAATCTAATATTTCCTCTTTATAAAATTAGGGATATATAGTTTTTTTTTTGGTGGATGAAAATGGTATGGTAACCCCGCCTGCGCGAACGGGATACGCTGGCGGAGCACCAGTGAAGGGTGATAGATGAGAATGAAAACAGGCCAGTTAGCCCATCGTGATGAATTCATCAGGAATTAACCATGATAGTTTCCAGGGGGAACCGCGAGGAGGTCGGCCTGGTTGGGTATATTGCTAGCAATGGGATTCTCAGTCTCCATTACTAACAATCCCTTTCCCCCGGGGATATATAGTTGAAAGAATAGAATGGAAGGGAAGGGAAGTAATATTAAATAATTGTTCATAAAATCAAGTGCGGTTAAACGGTGCGCCGTATTCGTGGACGGAGGGTCGACAGCCCTGGCTGAGCCAATAAAAATGATAATTATCAATTAGAGTTACAACACTTGGCGAACGCGACATTTGGTACTGTTTGCACAACGATAAACGCCACGGTAAATCCGTGACGCATCTGTCGCGGGTTCGACTCCCGGGGAGGGTCGATATCATTACTTAATTTCTTCGGTGGTTATATATTTAATCTGTATAATTTGATTTTAAATGTTTATTTATTTTAACACTATGCGTGTATTTTTTTTTTGTGATTATTCTATTAAAATTATAAATGCGAAAGTTTACAATTATGTTTGTATGTTTAATACTTAATTACTCTTAAACGGCTGAACGGATTTTAATGAAGTTAGGCACAGTACCTGCGTGTTGAACAATCTACCTTTTTTATGCTATTTAGAATGGCAAACAAGCTGACAGTCCACCTGATGGAAAGTGGTAACCGTCGCCTATAGACATGAGCAGTACCGTGGACATAACAGAGTATACAGTTTCGCCCATGATACGCCCCATGCGTTGCCATTCCTGAGGACTCAGGTGTTACTTGAAACTTCACTTGACCTTGAAAATTCACTGTCATATGCTCTACAAATCGAAACACAGCCATGCAAACACAACTGCTTCACGGTGAAAACATGAATGGGACAGAGGTACCCAAGCAAACGATTTTTATATAAAGTTTACCTGCGAATCAGTATGTTATACTAATTCACGCGAGTAAAACCGCAGGAAATAGCTAACTGTTGAATAAAATCTCAAATTATTAGTTTTAATATTTGCCTAATTTATTTGACCAAATCGAAATTTGTGGTGAAAGGCTGGCCGATGCGGTGACAGCTTATTAAATTTGATTGCTTATAGTATTTGTATTATAGCTGTATGGAATATCGGTCTGTGTTTGCATATGTGGGAGTCGTATTAAAAAAAAAAAAGCAATTAAGTACAAACTTCACATCGGTCAAAGGCTGCACATCCATACAGCCGTAGTACAAACATTCGAAAAATATTTAAAAATATATTAAACGGGCGCGCATGTTCCAAAATCAAACAGAAAGCCGTGCTCAAGTGCCGGAATCAAAAATCAATATATGAAAATTGTTTTGTTTACCGTACGTGACTTTGGTATGGACCCTTAATGGCCGCTTTAAAATGGATGATTTAGTTTTATTTCTTACACTGTTTGTAATTTATGATAATCACTATTTAGACAAGCATATTGTGGGTAACGCAGTTAAGGTACAAATATGAATGGGGGACAATAGTTATGCCTATTCCATAAATGGTTTTTATTTTACTGACTTTTTGAACTATAGATAGGTATATTTTTTTTTATACAACTTAGAATGGCAAACAAGCTGACGGTTCACCTGATGGAAAGTGGTAACCGTCGCCTATAGACACGAGTAGTACCATGGACATAACAGAGTATACTGTCTCGCCCATGATACCCCCCATGCGTTGCCATTCCTGAGGATTTAGGTGTTATTCCTCTGTACCCAGTAAGTTCACGCCATATCCCACCCTTAAAACCGAAACAGCCATGCAAACACAACTGCTTCACGGTTGAAACACGAATAGGCGCATAGACAATATCTTTAGCCTTCAAAAGCGACGCTTCAGATTGTATTCTGAGATATCAATGAAGGTATTAATTTTAAATCGATATTGTTATAAAAAAAATCAGACAAATACATGACAACCATAAATCATACCTCTGTAATTCTTTTGATTATTAACTACGTTATTAAAACGTGTTAGATTGAGGTTCCGAATGGTTCCGAATGGGCCGTCAGCTTGTTTGCCATTCTAAGTTGTATAAAAAAAAAAAAAAACTAGTATTTAAATATATGTTTTCAATACTTTCTGGCACTAGTGATGCCGACTCAAAACTTCCTATGCCGCTGTGTTGGGTTGATTGAAAGAGATCTATTTTAGAGATAAATTTACCTTTGTTCATATTATTTGTATAAAATTTTACTATTACTGTATTTCTGAACACAATAAGTATAAGATAGGGGGATCACAGAAACACTCTTTAAATAGAATTATGAATAAACAAATCGAAATATTTAATCAATAAAGCATATTTTTTATTTTGTTCTATTATTAAACATCAAAACTGCCTTATGGTCGAATCAATTATTATTTTGTTTACATTTTTAATAAGTTTTTTTTTTAAATATTTTTGTTACGTTCCATTGTAATAGACTATAGTAATTTTTCTGATTAACAATTGATGTTTTTATCTATTCTCTAATGTTGCACATATAGTTGTGACGTATACCATTTAATTTCCCGCCTTTTTCCGAACATAGACAATAAATCAATATGGCCATAAACAAATCCACAATGGCGGCTCGCAGATTAAGCCGTAATCGCTAGCTTGTATTCTGTGAACGGAACGCGTAAATCTTAGGTTGGGAATCGCGCCGGGAACGTTGCTCTACTTTTCCGTTATTAATATTTGAGTATTATAGATTTCTTCTATCTATAAAAAAGTATTTTATAATATTTTTTATATTGAATAAGTAAATTATAAACTTATTAGTTAAAACAAAATCGTCTGCATGGATTATTACCTCTGTCCCACTGAGGAGAAAACTACTATTATCACCATATACCCTGTCAGGTCGACCTCCACGTGGTCCCCCTTAGAAAACATCGTGCTGAATTCTAGGTGGATTTATTACGATGGGCTAACTGATCTGTCTTTTCATTTTCACCTATCATCCCTCACATGGTGCCCCGCCACTGTATTCATTTTTTAGCGCTGGCGGATGGTAGATCCAAAAATTCCATTCTTATCGAGAGAAAAAAACCTGCTCTTGTCTCACTCGTGTATCTCTCGTGAAACAGCTGTGATTGTATGCCTATATTCTGGTTTTCCACATAGTGTGATAATGTTTATAGGTTGAAGGCATGACATGGTAACACTCAGGCGACGATTACCACTTGTCTTTAGATGGGCCCTTTGTTTCTTGGGCATTGTAAGTGGCATAAAAAAATAAACAGCTTAATATCTTCAAAAATGAATTTATTTCACTTTTTTATTGAATAAAAAAAAATTAAATTAATTTAGTGCAAATAAAATTAGGTTTTATCTTCAAAAATGAATTTATATATATATATATA